AAATTACTAATAAAGATATGAGCAAAGCCTCACCTTAATACCAAAAAAAAAAAAAAATACATATTGCAAACTACAAAAGCATCTAAAGAGTAGCTAAATCATTTATATCAGCTATTAATTAGACTAATTAAAAACAAAATAGGTTTGCCATTGATTACAGAAAATAGTGCAATTATGCATCAAGATTTAGAAAGATGTAGAATATTGAGTTAAGAAATGTTTAATAATTAGTTAGTATCAGTGCAAAGAAGACTAAATAAGCTAGATTAGATTGGTAAAATAATAAGAATACAAGTAAAACAAGACTTTGCTTTGGCAGGATCAATATCAGAAGAATTAAACATAACCTTAATAAGCAACTTAAAGAGAATTTAGAAAAATAATTTGGTATATCTAGTTATACTTAAAACAAAAAAAATAAGTGTAATAGTAAAAGCAGAATATGGTCTCTGGCAGGTTTATGGTATAGATAAAACTGTACATAGTTTGATAGAAAAAAAAATATTTAGAATGGCATGTAGAAGGTTGATAAAATATAGAAAATTTTTTACACAACAGTTAATTGATCAAAATGATAAAAGAATAATTATATAAAAAAAGTTTAGAGCATTATGAACAAGTATACAAAAAGAATAAAAAGCAAAATAGTTTGCAGAAATTAAACAGAAAATGTTAAGTAATCAAGATGATGGAACAGTCTGAGCAGAATTTCAAACACAAGCTATAAATATCATGACAATATGATCTATATATAAGAAGTTAATAGAAGATAAGAAAAGACATGAATATGTGTTAGTAAATAAAGAGAATATAAATTCGATGATAGATAGAATAGTTAAGAAAAAGAAAAAAAAATATTTATAAATCATTGGAGTACATTTAAGATTAAAGATAGAAATTATTCAATACTTATAAAATATGAAAAGTGCACAAGCAGTTGTTAGTATTGGGTTAGGAAAAAAATTATAGTTGATGTGCTGCCAGGAATTAGACAAGAGAACAAATAGAAGATTACAGTTCTGTTAGAAAAAGTAAGTAAATATAAAGGAAGCCATATAAAAGATAGTTTTAATAATAAATAAGAAGTTCTAAATAAAAAAATAAGAATATATATACATGAGATTAGTTTAGTAAAGATACAAGTTTTTAATAGTAGCTTAGAAATCTTACTATTGAAACAATTAAAAAAAACATAAAATTAGAATATATAAACTACAGTTTTTATACAGATAGGTCATTAATAAAAGAGAGAAAAAATTGCAAAATAGATACAAGTTGGGTACAGGTTAGCAAAAATGAAGATAGATTAATAATAGAAGAAAAAATTATAGTAGTAAAATAGCTATCATCTACAAAAGTAGAGTTAGCTACAGTGTAGATGGTAGTATTAGTTATAGAATATAATAGTAAGATAGTCTTAAATTAGATAGTGTAGCAGCAATTGCAAGCTTAAAAAGAGAGAAGTCACTATATAATATTAAAATATAGAGTAAAAACAAGAATTTTAGATTAGTTATAAAGATCAAAGACATATACAAATCGAAGAATATTAGGCTAATATTAGTTAAAATTAAAGTACATAGTAAAGTAGTATGAAATGAAAAAGCTAATAAACTTATAAAGAAAAGTGCATGACAGAGTAAGAATACAGACTTGAAGCTTGAAAAAAATTCAAGATTTTCATATGCATTATTTTGAAAAAAATCAATAGCAGAGATACCAACAAGAAAGGTTGTCAAAATATTAATAAATATAATAAATGATGCTAAATGACAATGCTTAAGTGCAATAAAAGAATTAGAACTAAAGTCAAAAGCATAATGAAATTAGATATAGCTATAGAAGGAAAACAGAAAGTTAACAAGAAATATATATAAATCTTTAGAAGAAAATAAGAAAATATCATTTAGAATTAAGTATATTACTGATAGTTTATCAGTACTTAATATATTAAAAAATAGAACACCAGACTTGTATAATTTAGATATATGTAAAGAATGCAAAATAGAGAAAGAATCATTAAGACATATACTTAGCAATAAAGAATATGAGAGTTATTGAAATAATATTAAAGAGTTAGCATATTAGTTAGTATAAAAAAAGTTTGACAAATTTAACAAAAGCAAGCTTACAAGACTTGATCTAAAAAGAACATAAGTTGATGAAACTGAAATAGATAAAATTAAATATAGAAAGGTATACATATGTGACTTATTAGTTGAGAGTATGTTTAAAGAGTTGTATGCTAAACAAGTTTTACAAAAAGGTGCAAAGCAAAGTATTAGATTATATGTTAAAATTGTGAAAAAGATGTTCAGAGAAGAAATTTGATAATAAAGGTGTAGAACAATAGTCAAATAGAAGGAAATGAATAAAATAACATTGAAATTAAAATAAAGAAGAGTCAAGATAGTTAAAAATAAAGTATATAATATAAAGAAAGTTAAAAGTATAGAAGTATTAGTAAATAAGGTCAAAGTAAAAAAAAACAAAAAAAGATAAGTAGAGCATAAGCAGTTGTTTATAGAGGGTGTTAATGAAATAATATAGAATAAAAAAAAATTCATTTTTGTTCAGAACTGACAATGTTTCTTAATCTAGAAATAGAATAGTATAATAAGTTATATTTAAATACAGTTTCTGTACTTGAATAATGCTGGCCTTGTAATTTTAAAAGGTGAATTATTAGAAATATATAATATTTCATTTAGTAAAATTTTGTATTAAAGCTCTGACAAGGTTGTCAAAGAAATAAAATAATAATAATAATAATAATAATAATAAATAATAATTAAAAATAAAATAATAATAATTCATTCTATAATACTACTAACAAACTTACATCTATTTCTTATTTTAATCATTTTTATCAACAATTATTCTTTTATATAGATGACTTAGTAATTGATATTGGTACTGACCAATACATAATGAGTATTAGTTGAATTCAAGTTGATAATAATAATTAAACAATTAACTCTTTTTTTACTAAAATACAATTCTAACTTTCATTATACAAAGCTAAACTCTTCTTTATTATTAATGTAATTTCAATAGTTTCACACAATTTAGTAATTAATATTTTCACTAATTTTTAATTAATGATTTGAACCAAGAAAAATTTTCTTAATTGGTTAACCGAACCAAAATATTTTATGTCAACCGATTAAACCGGTTAAGATTACTTCACACTTTACCTTCGGAAAGTCTTGAAGCTTTACCCAAATTTTTGTCTCCATCTTGCTCGTCTTTTATGTCCCTTTTCGGAATTCTTGCTCATTCCTGATCCTTCCACCCGATTACCGATTCTCAACCGGTTGTACGGGTCAACCGATTAAGAATTTACTCAACCGGGTACCTGAAATTTATTCGGCTCGGGTCGGTTAACCGATTATAGCCCAACCGGTTCAAATCTCTAACCTTAATATGTAAGTTGACAAATTTGATGTCCTTTGACATATAGGCTGCCGTCAATAGAAATCAAGCAGATTGACATTTTTTTAAAAAAAATTAATGCTTAAGCTTTCACTGTTATTATCTTGATAAATTTTGAAGATATTGTGAATGAATAGTCAAATGAAAGCTTAATATCTAAGCTTTCTTTTGACTATTCAATCATGAGAATAGCTTCGAAATTCATCGAGATATGAACAGTGAAATTTAAGGTATTAATTTTTTTTAAAAATGTTAATCTACTTGATTTTTATTGACGACAGCCCATATGCCCAAATTGACTTTGAAAACAATCGAACATAATAGCCTTGTCAACACTGTTAATATATATATAAACCTTATACCGGTATTATACCTTACGGGTATGAGTATTAAATTTTAAAAAATGTTACACGCCTATTTTCTACTAATGGCAGCACATTTTAATATTTTAATATAAAAAAAAAGTTTATTTAAAAAAGTTTAATAATCCATTAATATTAAAAAAAAAAAAAAAAAAAGTTTAATAATGTATTAGTGTTATGCAAAAAATAAATTGCAGTAAATCTAAATTGATAATTCTCAAATTTAGTTAGTTTCTAATCAACACCATATCGATATGTAGTAGAAGTGTTATAACAATAATATCAAAGTATATCGATATGGAGATTTTTTTTTTTTTTAATAACAGTTTCTAAGCATGTTTCCACCTGGGTAGGTGGCTTTTTTTAAAAAAAATTAACACGGTTTTTATTCGGGTGGGTCTAAAAAAAATCACCACAACCTGGTCTGGTTTCACCCGAATCCCACTTGGATGACCTGTGGCGTGACTTTTTATAAGGTGACTCATGGTCCACCTGTCGAGTGAATTAAATATTTATTGAGAATTTTTAATTTTACAAGGAACTACTTTTTTTTTTAATTCATTGATATTCTATTAGGTTGCAAAACTTGAAATAAGTTACTTTTGTAATTTCATTTTTTTTTAATATATACTATATAGGGTTTTTGAAGTTATGGGCAGTGTATGAAATTCGAATTTAATTTTATGTTCTCTATGTAATAGGTTTTGAAAATTTTTGTGTTCTCAGAGAACATTGAATTTCACACACGGTTATGAGACATGTAGTTTACTATATCTCATAACTTGATTTTCAAGACAAATATTACTTGACACTATTTAACATAAATGTATACATATAACAGCCAATTAAAATCAAGAATATTCCGTGACAAATTTGTATGGGTTTTCGGACTACGTTAAGATTTCCGTCAACAATTAGGTTATACACGTGATAACCTTAATTCTGTCTACTAAACGCATGAATTCAAGTAGGTTACTTGTAACGAGTATTCATTTCAGTCGCTTGATATGCTAACTTATTGCTTGCATAGGTATACGGATCGCTTGTGTAGTATGTAATCTAAACTTATTAGCAGCAATTATTTGCTTTCGAGATCTTAAGTAGAAAAACTCAACATAATTTTTTGTAATTTTGACGAATGATTTATATTTTTAGATGGTGGGGCTTCCCGCCCGTGGTAAGACATACATTGCACAAAAAGGTATGAATGAGATTTTTATAGATTTAAAGTGTAGTAATCAAAATTTTACATTAAAATATTTTCTTCAAAAAAAAATTGAAAATGAAAATTGAAAATTGATAGTATGTCGTTATCTTCAATGGTTAAGTGTATCAACCAAAGTTTTCAATGTTGGTAATTACCGTCGTAAACTTCATGGAGCACATCAAATGCATTCGTTTTTTGATCCTCACAATACAGAAGGAGAGATTGCACGTAATGAGGCAGCCATCGAAGCACTTGGTGATATGATAAAATGGTTCTTGGAGGAAGATGGTACAGTAGCTATATTCGATGCCACAAATTCTACACGAGAAAGACGTAGTATGATAATTAACTATTGCAAGAAATATGATATTCAAGTTATGTTTATTGAATCTGTTTGTCAAGATGAAAGTTTGATTTTGCAGAACATTATGGATGTAAAATTGTCATCCCCAGATTATAAAGATATGGATCCAGACAAAGCAGCAGAGGATTTTCGAGCTAGGATATCACATTATGAGGAAGTCTATGAACCGGTAAATGATAAGTCAAGTGAAAATGATTACACATATATTAAACTTGTAAATGTTGGAAGTCAAGTGGTGATTAATATGATTCAAGGATATTTGCAAAGTCGAATAGTATATTATTTGATGAACTTGCATATTTTGCCCAGAAGCATTTTCTTTAGTAGGGTAAGTCTATGTAATTAGATTTACGACAATTTACACGAATGAAACTAAATCCAATTAATTTAAAATAATGAAATTAGCACGGTGAAAGCGTATATAATTTAGAGGGAAAAATTGGAGGAGATTCTAGTTTATCACCACGAGGTAGAAAATATGCATTAGCACTTCCTGATCTCATTAAAGCAAATTTAGGAGATCAGCCCTTGACAGTATGTAAATGAATTTTTCAAAAACAGTAACAATTAATTTGTTTCATGTAACCTTTTCATATTGAAATTCATTTAAGGTATGGACATCAACATTGAAACGTACAATAGAAACGGCCAAACACTTACCGTATCAAAAATTACATTGGAAGGTGTTAGATGAACTGGATGCGGGTGTTTGTGACGGCATGACATACGAAGAGATTGAGGTTTGTATTATATTTTCAAAAATGCTTAACTACCCCTATGCTAAGATATAAATTACTGTCAATTACTGATATAACGGAAATCTGGGCTGAAAAAAAAAACTGTTATATAGATTATTTTATTATTAACTTTTTCTAATCATTATAAATTATTTATATATTAAAAATTCGGTTCTTTGAATCTAACCTAAAGGTATCCGTTATATTGGTAGTTGACAGTATTATTAATGTCGTAGTGTAGGGATGCTATTACGTTAATATACGCAGTGTTGTCAATTTCTTGCCTTCCAGTGGAATTTTTAATAGTAAAAATTCCAGTGATACTGTTAATTTTGACATCCAATAATTTACGGTAACTTCTGACGGCCTTCATTGATAACGCTGAATATATGAGTTAAACCAATTGTTAATTGCTAAATAAATCGTGATGATTCAATGTCTCTTAGGAAAAATACCCAGAAGATTATAATAATCGAGATGAAGATAAATTCAATTATCGGTATCGTGGTGGCGAGGTAATGATTATTTCAATCTAACGGATAACTGATGAATGAAAATATTTGTCTGAAAACTTTTATTGTACTTTTAAAATTATAGTCTTATCGCGATGTAGTCTATCGTCTAGAACCAGTGATAATGGAACTTGAGAGACAACAAAATATCTTAATCATTGGTCATCAAGCTATTTTACGTTGTATTTACGCATATTTTCAGAAATTGTCTCAAGATGATTTACCTTATATTAAGATTCCACTACATACGGTTATCCAGTTAACTCCTAAAGCATATACCTGTAATGAAGACAGATATAAAATTGATATTGACGCGGTAGATACACATAGGGAAAAACCGAAAAAACCTTCAATTAAATATTGATTAGGAATTTAGGAATTTTTAAGTGGATGTAATATGTCAAACATTATAACTGAAATTTGTAACCGTGTAGGTGGTAGGAAGAAAGTGGCAAAAGGTTGGAAACAACGTAAATTATTATCTTGGTGAATGAATAGTACCATATTTGGCAACGGCCATTATAGGCCATTATATAAATGGATTTATGATTTACAATTGCGGTTTTTTTTTTTTTTTTAAAAAAAAAAAGATATTTATATACACTCGTATATTTAGAATAAACAAATAACGACCCAAATATATTTTGTATTATCAACATTGAGTACTATTGTCCTTTTTTTCGATTTGTTTCTTGCCTTTTAATACAATACGAACCCTTTGTTCAAATTCCAGAAAGAACAATGTAAACCTGATTAGTTTTTCTCCGACGCCAAAATTTCGTTGTATTATTTTGAATGCAAGGCGGGGAAATACAGATATTGGAAAAAGAATTGATTCTTGTAAAGGCATATCACGAGCAAGTGGAGACTCGCATGTGAGAGCATAATAAAGTTCTTTGTATTGAAGGCGGAAGCGGGGAGAAAAGATAATAGCTTTGAACCTTCAGATCATATTAAAAAAGAGAGCTAATGCAATAAAAGTTTGACGTTTGTTAGTATTTTTGCATAGAATGCAGCAACGATGATAACCCCTTGCAGAAAACCAAGGCATGAATAAAAAAAAAAACCTGATCAGTGTAACTTTGGTTTTAATGTACGTATGTATCAGGATCTTTGGGACGAGAAGTTGGAAACTTAAAAATATATAAAGTTTTTTAAAACTAGTTTTTATATTATAATATAAATATTATTGTAAAATTTTAAGTTAAATACAAAAATAAGATACACAGTATACAATATAAAAAGTTAATGCAAATAAAATAAATAGTTAACTTTATATCAACCAAACAGTAGTACACAGTTTATAGACTTTTTTAATAGAAGATTGTAAAGAAAGTATTTAGATTTAGAATCGTCGCATTATTATTACACATACAGTAAGTATGTATATTAATGATCCCGCCAGGTAACCTTACAAAAAATCAATGTTACTCGTCTAACATCATCAACTCTAAAATTTTTTTTCCCTTGCATTTTAGATTTTTTTTTTTTTGGATTTTCCTTATTTGAGAAATTCGTGGTGTGTTTTTAGATTTTATTACTTCACTCCCTTTCCCCATCTTCGGTCTTTTGTTATCCCACCGCTTTTTCGTTTTTTCTTTTTTTTCTTTCTTTTTTTCTTCATATATATTATTATCTATATTATTATCTATATACTTATATTATTATATATATATATATTTTCTTAAAAAAAAAGTCGTGCCGAGTTCATGACTTTTCGTATATTTCGTTAAAGTGTTCGTTTACATTAGAGAAAGAGCACTTTTCCGCGTTATTATAGACTTATAAAGGGAGTGTGTAAATAAATTATATAAATATATTCAAAAAAATAAAAAAAAAAAAAACCAAAACGAAAAATTTTCTGGCAAAGCGATAAAAATAAAAAACCAAAAAAAAAAAAATTTTTTTTCTTTATACTATACCTTTTTTTTTTTATTTTCTGTACTTTTCTTTTTTTTCTTTTTTCGATTTTTTTTTTTACTTTTTTTCTAATACGGTTTCAAGCACATTTTGACAATGGCCACACCACCTTTTCCTTTATTACTTTCTTCGCACCCAATATCCGTGCACACAGCTCCACCTACACCAGCTGTCGTACCTCCTCCACCTCCTCGTCATAGTGTCTATTCCAGTGACCCGCGAGCTCACTTAATAAGTACTAATTCGCCGTCAAATTTTTATTTTCAATTTTATTCTACTTCGCCAACCGGAAACGAACAAAGGTTCATGCCTAAAGGTTTCGAAAATCAGTCACCGGTCAGCAGTCGGAATATTCTTCCTCCGATAAACACGTCTGCACAGTTGGTCAATGATTTTAACACGTCAGTTAATGAAATGCAAACTTCTGGTAATATGTTCGTATCACCTCAACATAGTGGACGTCATTCGCCTTCTTTAATAAATAGACCGCGACGTGAACAAAGACGTTGTAGTGAACCAAGTTATCGAGTTTCGGAATATGGTGCAATTGATTCACCACAATTACCACGTAGTGTTTATTCATCACCTATTTCTACTGGTGGTTTCGTGTTTGCTCAGGAAAGACAACAGCAACCACCTCAACACGATATGAATCAAAAATTTAATAATGATCTGAGATTATCAACGTCCATCACTAATCAGGGTACTTACGTACATCGTAGAACTTCTACTTTGTCCAAAATTTTACAAACCCCTGATGATGATCAGATCAATTCTAAGAGATTGAGATTTGACAGGAGGGAGGATGGGAATAGAGATAACGAAGATGGTGATAGTAGTGGTAGTTGCGGTAATGGTTGTCAAGAGAGGTGAGTGTTCCCCTCTTTATAAAAGGCAATGAATGAGATCTTGTTTATATTTTGGGAGTGGAATTAGTAGAAGAAGAAAAAATATATATATATATATTTTTACTACTCTATTTGCTCTATTCCCCTCCCTCCGGTTGATCATTTCGAGAGTTGAATGCTTGATCTTAACAATGAACGCATTCCATCATTATTATCATCATTTATCATTATCATCATCATTATCATCATCATCATGCCTTTTTTTTTTCTTTTTTTTTTTTTTTTTTTATATGGATTATTTAATATTATAAAATGATCCTAACATATGACTTTTTCGACCAAAAAAAAAAAAAATTATGTATATACGAATTATACGAATTGAAAATTTCTGATCAATTATGGTGATAATAGTATCAGTCTTTCACCACTTCGTATCACGCCTATATCCAACGCGATGAGTACGTCATCAAACGGTTCACCCGTTACCACTAATAGTAGTGATACTGGTAGCATGTTAGGTGAACAAGTCCCACAACAACAAATTTTACGCCAAAACAAAGGACTTAGACATTTCAGCAAACAAGTTTGCGATAAAGTAGAACTTAAAGGCGTTACTACCTATAATGAGGTAGGTTTAAAAAAAAAAAATAAATAAATGATATTTATAAGATTTTAATCACAGTTTAGGAATAAGAAAAATATGCAAATATTACACGTTTTTTTTGAAATCATTACTGTGAATTGACGTAAAATTTTATTTATTTATTTATTTCATATGAAAAATATGATGTACTTATGCATAAAACATTACTAATGAATTTATTTCTTTTCTTTTATTTTTTTTTGTACTGCCTTTCATGCATTAGGTTGCAGATGAATTGTCTGAAGATTTTGCAGCTCATATGCAAGAGCATGGTGGGGTGGGTAACACCTAAAAATATTTTGATGATGCAATAAAAAAATTTAATAACTTAATAATAATTTTAATTTAAATATAAATTAATTAATTAATTAATTAAATTAAATAAATTAATTAATTAATTATAGCAAAAAGTAGATCAAAAAAATATACGTCGTAGAGTTTATGACGCATTAAATGTATTAATGGCAATGGATATTATCGCGAAAGATAAAAAAGAGATCAGATGGTTAGGATTACCAGGTCAAAAAAATAATACGAATTTGGCATCTTCGTCTGCGACGACAGAGGCCGAAATTGAAAGGCAAAAATCTGAAATTAGAGTTTTGGAGGTATTTAAGAAGATTTTTTTACGCGTTATTTATTGGTTAAATTGATCATAAAATAATTAATATTATATAGCAACAAAACCGACGCTTAAGTAAACAAGTGGATGAGGCTAAAGTTGCTTTCCAATACAAAATAGCTAGTGTAAGTTTATATAAGTACATTTTTATTATTATATACATCATTATAATTATAATTATTAATTATTATTAATTATTAAATATTTTTTTATGTTAAGCACCTTCACATTCGTAACCTTGTGAAGAGGAATAAACAACGTCATGACCCATACAAGACTAATAACAAAGTGAAATCTGAAAAGGTGTATCTTCCTTTCAAATTGATACGCTGTCCACGAGGAACCGTCTTTAACACTCAAACCGGAGAAGATAGGTAATTGAGATATTTAAAATAAATCATATTCATTCATATCACGCATATTCGCGCATATTCATGCATATTTCATGCATATTCACGCGTATCACATATATCACATATCACAAATTGCTAATTTTTTATTCCAATACATATGAAAATATAGTGTTTCTCAAATCCTTTCGTTTCAACCCCATCAACCCAGTATAATCGAAGATGTGCATATCTTGCAATATATTGGAATGGATAAAATTACACCTGAAGATATGCAACAATGGGTTAGCCCTGAACATTTAAAGTGGATTATTACGAAACAGGGTGATGATGGTGATTACCGTATAAGCTACGAACAGTGACAAAATCATTAACCTAAAAAAAAAAAAATTAAGCTTTTTCGTGAACAATTGTTTTTTTTTTTTTATAAAAAAACTATATATATTTTTTTAAAAAAATTATTTTATTTTATTTTTTTTTAAAAAAAAAATTATATTATTATTTTTTTTAAAAAACTATATTGTTTTTTTTATAAAAAAGAAAAAAAAACTATAAGCATCCGAACATTTCTTTTCTTTCTCCTTTACTTTTTGGGAATAAGCTGAAATTTTAAAAAAAACAATATGCTTCAAATCAACAGAATGGACATTTGAATAAAAGTTTTAATTTTGATGTTTTTTTCTTCTATACGTATTAAAAGTCTTTAATAATAATATTTTTTTAATGCTATAATAATGTTATATATATGTTATAACCAATGATATACATGTAGTATGAAAACGTGATAAAAAAAAACTAGGAAAAATAACTAGTAATAATCATTAGCTGATACGTAGTAATAATAATAATAATAATAATAATAATAATAATAATAATAATAATCCCTGCATAAAACAAAAATAATTGCGTGAGAAATTTAGGTTAAACTATAACAATGAATGAAGTTGTAAATTGGGCGGGAAACCCTTCAAACAATTAACCATATTAGGATGTTAAGTTATAAGGTAGTTTCCAAAATGATATACTTGATGTGGGCGGGCGTTTTACCCCACAATTAACGTCGATCATTGATACAGCTATTGATAAATGACACATGGTGAGAAAAGAAGTAAAGTGGTCAGCTAAAGCAGAGCGAGTTTTAGGGTTACCTTATTGATTCAGTTATGGTCAGTGTTGGTTTGACCAGACCAATTTGACTGGTCTGGTCATATAGTATATTATATAATTTATTATATAATATATATATGATCTTTATATAATAGATTTGACCAATTTGATCGATTTGACCAGACAATTTGACCAGTAAATTTTTGGTTGACCACCAATTTACCCAACACTGGGTTATATAGATACGCATCAAGAATGCAATTTATGCAGCATGTAGATCATATATTGAATTACTCCGCTTTAGCCGACCCCGAAATAAATGAATTGGCACACGTTTATTATCAAAGAGTGACAAAAAGGTGATACTTATAAAAAAGGATAAGAATTGTTGATAGAAATTCTACGAATCATTCATTCATTAGGATATGTTAATTTGACCAAAATATGATATTGATGGTTACACAAAAGGCCAATTTACCGCCTTGAAAAAAAAATACCTCAACTATTCGAGGAAATTCCTGTCGATTAAATTGATACACAGGGTATAACAAGATATAAAGTATAATGAATGTAAATAGTATGTACTGTGTACGTACTTTATGTACACATGTACTTACATTGCAACATTGAACCATTAAAACACGTGATTCCTTAAAATATGTGGAAAAGTTACATGTGTTCTTGATTAACGCTTGAAATATGAACACATGTACTGACCAGAAACTTCTAAATTCTAATTCTAAAATTCTACAAATATATATTACGTATATTGATATACTGTACGTATATACATATTATACAGTATATCAAGCTACATATATATATATATGTATACGTATATGTATATGTATGTGTACACATTTTTCTGCACATACGTAGAACTCAAGATTGGGCGTATCTGAGTAAAAAATCTTTCAAGTAAGAATAAAAAAAAAAGAGGCGGGAAACTTTATATCGTATTACATTGATTACATGAATGCCTCTTGTAATATGGCGAGATGTTAAATCAACTGACATTATATTTGTTACACTACACTTTGTGTATATAAAAACCTTAAAATTTTATTACATCGAAATAATAACTACAATAATCATAATAACCGATACCTAATAACTGATAATAACTGATAATTTCGTAATCTACGTACGTACGCACGTTACGTATGTATGTATGTAGGTACGTACTGTACGTACAATAACAGGTAATAACAATACTCATGTACAATATGTATTTACAATATGTACCTACTTATATTTGTAAATAGTTTATTTATCATTATCAGCTCATTGCAGTTATTGTAGTTGGTTTTTTTTTTTTTTTTTTTACGTAAGGTGGTAAAGGCGTTAAACGAATATTAAGAAACATATATGTATACAAGATTTATAAAAAAGTACGAATGAATGCGCATTATTAAATAAAGTTTAAATCAATTAAAGTGTGAAACTTTGGTGAAACTAGTTTCCTTGAATTTAATCCTGGATTCTTGACAAGATAAGGTTCGTATACAATGCCTTATATGTAACACTAATAAGAATAATAAGATTTTATGCTCGTTACTACATGCGTTTTTTTCACGTTTAAAATAGTTAATTTGTGTTTGTCATTGTGATCGAGTTGATAGATAATAATAATAATAATAAATTTTTTTTCACATAAAAATATTTGCTCTTTCATAAATGTTGTAAGACGTGTCTAAACTTTTTTTTTAACTTTATATCATGTGATATTCATGTGTTACTGATAAATATTCAATTTACCTCAAATGGGTTGGATTATTGGTTTTTATCATAGATTTGTTTGTACGCTCCTGTAGACTAAATATTTGCTTCGTTGGAAAACTTTATTGGATTCAATTTAAACTCTGTACGTAATTATTAAACTTTGTTTGGTGATTGGTTTAATTTGTTTTAAATGCACGTATCAGTTTGTGTTTGTTGATAAACAAGAATTTTTAATTAACTACCCAAAAATCTCTCTTCCTAAATCGCGAGCTTTTAAATGTCAAGGAATGATTTGCTGTATGTATGCTTATCAATATTAGATATGCTGTACATAATATACACATTAGGAATTCAGGATTTAAGAATATGCGTACTACACTCATCTAATTATTAGTTATAATGATAAAAACTTGCATGCCCAAGAGTGCATGCATTTTCTTAAAGTTACAGCTCTACGATGGCTATTACGTAATTCATTGGCGCCGTCTGGACCAATTGTCTTAATCGTATCATTATATCATCGAGATTTTTGAAATTCATATGCATAATCCATCTAATAATTATTACTTTAAAAAAAAAAAAAAATTACTAAAAATCGATTGCTCCTCAATATTGTACTAATAAGATTTTTGTATCGAATTAAGTCCCGAAATTTTGTCCGTAATATTTTATAGTAACCAAAGAAACGAACCAAGCTCTTCTTTTTGTATATTATGCTCAGAGAATGCTTATCTGAATTATTTGGTGGTCGTAATGCACTGCGCCGCACCTTCTAAACAGAAATTAGAATAATTAATTAGCATTAGCAATTAATAGTTTCACAATACTCATTTAGAAACTCGAATGACCTATATATGGCTGCTTAAAAGTGATTCAAATAAACACCAATTGTTCAAAAAAGAACAATCAATGCTTGAAAAAAAAAACCAATCCTTGAATGAAATTTTTTTCAAAATCACGTGGTCGATCCTAATTTATATGTTATTAGGGTTACGAATTCGAGAATGGGCTGAACTTTGAAAGGTATTACATTAAGTAAATAATAAATAATATATTGCCCCATTTATTCAGTTAAATAATAAAGTATTTTGACATATAATCTATATATATATATAATTACTACTGTGTGTTGATAAATAAGTCGTAATAAGTCGTACTTATTCTTGTATCCTTTTTTTCTCAGATGCCAAGCCTTCACCATTCAAAAAATCAAATGTATTCAAATTTCCTTGTACTGCCTGATATAAATGATATGGAACAAGTATTTTTTTTATTCGTTGTCGATATGAGTTGTAACGACTGTCTAGAGCCGAACTACTAAACCAATTGATTTCAGGCGTGAATGGATCATCTAACTGTTCCGACTTGTATACATTTATGGCTTTATTAATCAAATCCTTCAAAAATATTTTGGTTAGCTATAATTAGTTAATAAAAAGTAAATGTTATTATATAATTAATCTTATTAGAATAAAACTCTATCTACAACAACAATAACAATAATAATAATAATAATAATAATACGTATAGTACATACCTGAAATATCAGATTTCCAGTTTCTAAGCGTTGCTGTATAGCAATATTAATATCACCATTCTCCACATCAATTTTCCCATCAATTTTGATTAATTTGGTAGCAACTACTCCGTCTAATTTTAATTGATCTATTATTTCCCATATCCAATCAATGCCTTGCGGGTTAAACGTGTACCAATCCTTAAGCTCGCTTACGTTTTTGACCGCCTTAATTGATAATGAATTATTTGATACCGTTATTCCATTATTGTTTAAATTGCTATCATCATTACATATATTTATAGTTTCATTGCCTAAATTTAATTAGAATTTCCTTAAATATTCATATTAATTAAATTAATAATTGCTATAAATAAAGTAATCATAAATAAAAATCACCTTTCCAAACTTTATCTTGATAAAGTTCATCTAGAAAATCCTGTGCCAATGTAAGACTACATAATTTGGTTTTTTTGGTTTCCAAAAAATGTGGCCTTCGTTTGCATTTGTAGGGTGGGATTGGGACACTACCACTTTTGGATGTACTAGTATTAATTTCGTGCCAGGATTCTGGACAACCACAACATTTACACCATGTTACGTGATGACCTGTTATTGATGTAAAATGGCGTTGTTTATGTTCTACCGACAATTTATGATTGTCCACTATAGTATTTATGTTTGTGGTTTCATTATTATTGTCATTATTATATTCATTATTATATTCATTTTTATATTCATTATTATATTCGTTATCCATGGGCGTATGTCCCTTATCCCGGCACCAACAAATTACTTGTTTTGTTGTTAAAGACGCTACACTTGATTGAACTCGTGAATCTTCCACTGTCCGTGATAATGATAAAACCAATAAACGTATTAAACGTGCTCTATGCCATTCTGTTACTTTACGCCGTTCAATATTCCAATTAAGAAATGTACGTGATGATTTTGCTGTTGCGTAAGGAAGTGCAGATGATCGTACTGATAAAGGTGTAATTAATGGATAATTTTTAACTGCCTCATTTAATAACGGTTCTAAAGCACTCATAGTTTCGGGGTCAATCCTATCATTATTTTTCCTTTTTTGTAATAATTCTTTAACTTCTATTTCAACTGAATCGTTGTTTGTTTCAGATATATCTTGTTGTGAAATATCTTTAACTATATTTATTGTATGATTAATAGGTCCTTCTGATTTTGGTTCAATGAATTGTGTATTTCTATCCAATTCAAGATCAAACGCACGCTCATTTCCGAGTTGTTGCTTTCCATTATGAATATTATCAAGCTGTATATATAAATCTCTTTTAAGTTTATGTTCATATTTTCATAATACTGATATACAATTAGAACCAACAAATAAATAAATATATAAATAAAAAATAAAAAATTACCTTAAGATTATGAATTAGATCAATCGGTTTATTTTTGTTATCTGCGAATATTAGTTGTACTCGTATCGGAAATTCGCCCCAGCCAAATCTGGTTAGCTGAAAGGGTGGTTCTGTTACATCAACTACATCTAATGGTCGATAACTTGGATGAAGGAAAAAGCGAACCATTCGTATAAATGGTGTAACATTCAAATCATGGGGTGGTCCAGTAACATAAACCATCCATTTATGCGTGTACTTTCTAAGACTTAAATCCCTTTTTTCTGGTGCAATCCATTTTGAAACATTTCCAATAACAATACGCTTCTTAATATAGAATCGAGATCCGTGACTCATGGGATCAAAAACACTCGTACATGCTGGTATAGTACAAGTAGCAGATGTTGTTGGGACCTCTTGCATACCTGTGTTAGGAGTACATGTTGACATTGAAACGCTAGAAGTGATTACTTTATCACTTGACTCAGCATCCACTTCATTTCCATTGCTTAAATTTATAGTTGAACCATTTGTATTTGTCTTTGTAGTTTCAACTTTGTCTTCTTGATGCTTCTCTGACAACTGATTTTTCGTATTTACATTATTATTTGTATTATTATTTGTATTATTATTTGATAATGAATCGATATCCATAGGGGAAGTAGAATCAACATTCATAGGGGAAGTAGAATCAACATTCATAGGGGAATTAGAATCAACATTCATAAGGAAAGTAGAATCAACATTCGTTATAGATTCTTTAGAATGCTGTTCATTTTGTTCTAATTCTTCTGGTGACCTCATCATTAATTGGTTATTGTCACATATCATTGTATTCGAACAAGATGTGGGTGAAGAATCTATGTCAGTCGTAGTTGTGCCTGTATCACCTTCATCAACATCTGACGAATAGTCCGAGTCCGTTCTATCAGGAGAACCCGTCATTGCACGATTTGCCGTTATTTGGGTAATATTACCAGGCATGGTACATGATAAGAATGACGGATTTTTTGAATAAGACATTATTTCATTATTACTAGGTGATTTACGAGCCAATGGGACTTCATTAGAATCGTTAATTTCAGCTCTATTAGACAATTCATCCAACCCAAGATCAATTTCTTCTTCAAATACTTTGATAGTTGGCTATTTATTATAATTCTAATATTTTAATAATGACGCCAAAAAGTCAAATAAGCAGAAATTGATTTAGGAATGGCATACCCTATGTTCGCTATTTTTGTACAGTTATTAAAAATCCCTGTTCACAATTAATAATTACAAATATTTACCATTACAAAATATTTCAATAAATACGAACCTTGTACGACTTGCCGATAGATTCGATTGACCTAATATTGTACGAAGAGATGGTGGCCTAGTGATAACTCTTGATCTAGCTGGATGCCCTGGTGGTATTAAGCTTTCATCCTATAAAAAAAACAAATATGAATAGAATATATCAAATATCCAACAATTATTCAACAATTTGTGTCAATTTAAGATAAATCAGTGATTACTACCACTGGTGTGCCACATTTTAAAAGAGCCTCCTCATGATTAGGAAATTCGATCCTATGTGACAAGCGACAGTGATTGAGAAATCCTTGCACGTTGATGAATTTTGAGCGATGACATTTAGGACACGCCAACCTATATAAATTTAGTCATTTAGTTTTATGTAACTAATGTAAAATACATATAAAAAATACTATAGATAACCTCACGAAAGTTCCATCGTTTCTACGTGAGTATAGATCTTTACATGGATCATAATAAAAATAATCATTATCTCTGGTAGAATAAATTTTACGCGTTGAGTGACGCGTCGGAGTCAACGAAGTAACTCCTAAACTTTCATTACAAGTATTGCCATTAAGTGTTGAAGTTCTGTGTGAATTTGAAGGGGCTAATAAAGATAACATTAGAAACCGAATTTTGTACGCTTCATTCAAAAATTTAATCACTTACGTTCTAGAATGCAATGTTTCAAAGTATTAAGGTATAATTCAGATTTTTTCAATTCTTCCTTTATTTTCTGTAATTCACGGTGCCTTAACAAAATTTCCAGATCAAACTGTGCGTCAATAACTTTCAAGGCTTTTTTTCGCGTTTCTTCATCTAAAAATATAATTCATAGTTGAAAATTAGTTTCATTTATATAACTAAAATCTACTTTCTGCCTAAGTACCTCTTGGAATTGGTCGACGAGGGTATGTTAAATTTTGATTAATGCTAGAGGTAGCCATAATTCGAAAGTAGTTGTTTTGGTTAACAAATTTAATTAATAATCGATCGAAAAAAAATTTTATGATAATCTTCATCTAGAACCGTTTTCTGTACAACGTAAAAAAGTATAATTGATTTTTTTTTTTTTTTCTGGAAATTACTAACACTATGTACCCTAAATGTTTAACGTAAGTCAAATCCAAATTATTTAACTATAAATAAATTTAAAAAAGTTGGTTTTTTCAGTTTAATATATGCGCCATACGGTTGACGTTATATCGGGTGTTTGATAAGTCTCCTTTTTATTAATTACTAAATTATATATATTTTTAAAAAGGATAAAAGGTCCTGTCTCAAGACTTAACAAACACTTTGTATGTCATGTAATATCAAATAGGTTCTTTGCTAGAAAAACCACCGTTTAGTATTTTCTGATTGAAGTTTACCGATTTTTATTTAAGTGTTGTACAATTTTTATTAGTAAAAGACATGTTTTTATACAAGAGTTTTTATTGCTATAAAAATATATATAACTTTCTTGAAATTTTAAATATATAATTTTTACTATTTTATAATTTTTTGGTATAAGTTTGGTTTTTTAATTAAAGTAGTTCAAAGAAATTTTTTTTATTAAAGTTAATATATTTATTGTTTTTATAATTTTTGTAAAGTTAGTTTAGTTTACAACTCAATCTTCTAAATATAACTTATTATCAAACTTTGTTTTACTTCTATTATGTCTTTTTTCATTCAATTTCATTAGTTCAAAAATAAACTTTTGATATATTCAATAGATCAAATATCAAACTAATCTTTTACATATAATTACTAACATCCAAATCTAAGTAAGTTTTAATTACTCTTGTTGGTTTAGATCACAAATAAATTAGTTTGAGTTTTTATTCTTTTTATAATATTTTAAAAATAAAATAATATTTTATATAAAATTTTAATTAAATATTCAATAAAGATAGAGATTTGCTAATGTTATTCTTTACTTTTGCTAATGTCATTCCTTTTATATAAAATATTTAATCTTTGATCTTTTAGATCCTAATTATTAATTAGAATTAGATTATATAAGAGATGACATTAACAAAAATAGGAGTAGTATTAACAAGTTTTTAAAAATAAAAACATGGTGTTACTATTAATATTAAAAAAAAAAAATTAGTTACTTATTAGTATATAATAAATAGGTTTTATTTTTATTTTTTATTTTATTTTTTTTTAAAATATTTGACTTTGAAGAACAATTTTTATTTAAGTTATATAGATATTATTATAGAATGAATTATTTTATTTTATTATTATTATTAGTTATTATTATTATTTTATTATTATTATTATTTAGTATTAGTTATTCTATTATTGTATTATTATTATTATTACTAGTAGTTGCTAGAACTTTTTGGTTGATTAATAATCACTTAGTTACTTAGCTGCTTAATTACTTAGTCACTTAGTAATTAGTCACTTAGTAATCATTAGTCATTAGTTAATAGAACTTTTTGGTCATTTAGTAATCAAGTAGTTATTTAGTTGCTTAGTTACTTAATCACTTAATGCTTAGTTGCTTAATCACTTAATCACTTAGTTACTTGGCTGTTTAGCTCACAAATATATAAACCTTGCTAAATTCTTCAAGTACAATTAAGCAACAGACATCTCTCTTCTTTTTAATATTGTAAACATATCTTGGGATTCTTTATAAACAGAATCTAAGAATAGTTCTTCTTGTTATTACTTTAATAAATAAATTTTGATTATAAACTGTATTAATACTTCTCTTCTAGGGTAATTTCTATAGGCAAGGTTTATTTCTTCATAGTAAAATAAAGTAAAGTTATTAGTATTGCATTATCTTTTCTAAACTGTCTCAGAAAAGAGTATAGTTTTTTGACAACATCTAACAGAAGTTATACTTTCCTCTTAGACACCAAATATATCTGTAAAGGATTCTCTGTACTATGTCATCATTATAGTATGAAAATTAAGAAAGCTTTCATTTATAACATTTAGTGCCTTCTGATAAAAAGATTAAATTTTTAGAGAAAACAAGTTATTCTAGATAAAACATTTTCAGATATATTAGAATATTATTTTGACAAAAAACCCAGACATATTGAAAAAGTTATTCTAGCAAAAGACCTGAACATATTGAAAAAGTTATCCTAACAAGAGACTCAAATGAATATTAGTTATCCTAGCAAGAAACTCTGACAAATATTAGTTATTCTAACAGAGTCTCAAACGTAAAAAACCTCTTCTTTTATAATTTACATCATTGCTGAACTTTACAACAAGAACATTCAAAGCCATTAACAAGCATATCTAACTGAATCTTATCTTGCAGTAGATGTACTCCAAGCACAGCATTTAGATTTATTTTGTCTTCAGTATTATTTTCCTTAATATACTAGCTCTTACTTAGATTTTGAATGATTTTGAACTTGGTATCAAACCAACTTTACAGCTCAATATTATTTTTTTAAAACTTAGAACAACTTTACCACTTTTATTATCCTATATCCAAACTGAATTACAATTCACCTTTGTATTAGAAATATTATTTTTAGTTATTAATATCAACAAAACATTGGTGATCTTAGGACAATTGCTTTAATTCTAGTTAGAAGATATACCAACCTCTTTCAACTTCTTACCTTACCTTTTAAATACCAAAATGCTTTTGACCTTCATCTCAATGCTCCTCTAAGTTTTAGTTTTGAAGAACCAAAAGAATTTAGACAACATCTTGGAAATTTAGAAAGTCCTATCCTACCACCTACCACTGATATTACTTTTACCAATAATATTCTTTATTTATATAACCTAGCAGATAGCTTAGCTTCATATAGTAAATTAGCTACACCTACTAAACTTTTGAAAAGTCATTATACTCTTAACTGGACTCTACAAATTACCCTATTACTCACTGATAATTTAGAAACTAAAGAATATATTACTGCTTCTGTAGATCTTACAAAACCTCTAGCCCAAATTACACTCCTACTGACTTATCTCAACAAATTTTTGAAAATAGCTTTTCTCCTTCATCTTCACCTTAATTTGCTATTCCTTTACTTTAATCTATCACTGTTCAATCTCAATTTATTTAACCTTAACTTCAACTTCTTCTTTCACTTTCACCTATTCTTGATAACCTTTCTGATCCACTTGACAATATAGCACAATAGGCTTTACAAAATGCTGCACAAGCTATAGCTAATCTTATCAATACACTAAATAAAAATGAAAAAGCTCTTATAAAAGCTGACTTCTTTTATGGTAATGAAACTCAAAACTCAGAACAATGGCTCAAAGATTTTTGAAGAGCCACTAGTGTTAACAAGTAGGATGCTGCTTGAAAATTAGAACTTACTTCTGTATACTTAAAAAAAATTGTATTAGATTGGTGATTAAGTCTTAACTCTGTCCCAAATACTTTTGATAATAATATTAACCAAAACAGAAGCTTCAAACATTTTTTTAGAGTTTGCTTTTATATGTCTAAATAAAAAGCTATTTGGCAAAAACAGCCTTTTGATATCAAACAAGACCTAGACACAGTAGATGCCTATGTCAATTATTTTAGACAATTGAAAAGACAAGTTTACCCTGATGATGCTTTCTCTACTAACTTTACCAAACAATTATTTATTTAAAGAATATGTTCTAAATTTTTTATCAATATGCGAATCTGCTAATCTGAATGCTGCTATTATCTTTGCAAAACAATAGAAAACTGGACATGTAATAGCTGCCAATACTACTACAGAAACAGACCAAAATATCAAACAACTACCAAACCAGATTGTCAAACTTAGTATTAATATGGCATAGCAACAGCAACCATCTCAACCTCAATTTGCTAACTATGCAGCTATACCTAATCTTAACAAACCTCAAGCTAAAGATTCATGTCACTGCCACTACTGTGAACATGCAGAACATTTTATTGCTAAATGTAGAACAAGATAAGCTAAACAACAATTTAACCAAAAAGATAACTATAGAAGAAATAATAGATGCAACTAAAAGTTTTACTCTCAAAGTTGTAACAGATCTTATTATTGAAATCCTTCTAGAAAAAGAAAAAACTTTAAAGAAAGAAGTAGATACTCAGACTTCTATAATAGTGATAGAAGAAGAACTAGTATTATTTACTCTAACTCTACTATAGAGATGTTAACTATCTTAACCATGAAGATTCTTCTTCTACTCCTCCTGTTATAATACTAAAGAAATAGGAACAATTTCTTAATAACTCTTCTATTCATATAGCTATGTTTATATATCTGTATAAAGAAGCCAAAAATGCTAATCTAGTCCAATCGCCTACTCATACTACTTTTGTAAAATGTAATATTTGACTTAGAAACAGACCCTACCAAGCTATCATCAATAGTGGTGCTGCTATTAGTATGATTGCTCATCAAACTGCTAAAGAATTAGAACTCAAAATTGAACAAGCCTCTACTAGTCTAATTGTTATAACAACTGGTACTTTAATATACCCCCTAGGAATCATTAAAGATCTCCTTATCCCTTAGATTGTAGTAGAACACAGGCAAATTTGCCTGTGTTTTTGCACTTTTTTAGCTCTAATCTACTTTTTTAAAAAACTAAAATATTTAAATAAAATTTGGTATAATAA